GGTTTCAGTGATGGGACACAATAATCAACTACATTGTATATTGACAAATTAAAAATAATAATAATAAAAAAAAGAAGTTTATTGAGCACATACCATAAGCACTCTGTTCCAGGCACAGAGGACACACGTCAAACACCCATATCCCTGGCCTCAAGGAGAGGATGGGCTACTAATCAGTAAGGAGTTTCTGCAGCCCTGCCCAGGCTAGCTGATTCAATCATATCTGCCTGGCTTCTCCTTTAGGCAGGGCTTACTTATTCTATTACTTTCCTATTCCTCAACACTCCTAAAGATCTTCCTTAGCTAAGTATTTGTTATCAGAGGTCCCAGGGTTACCATAAAAGTAGTGACTAAGGAACTTTAAAATTAGCCTTCACTTAAACATCCCTCTCAAGTTACCACTGGTGTCAATCTCCAGACATTTCATAGACACCAGTGATTGTCAGAGATGATAAACATGTAATGCACACACAGTACAAATTGATCACAAAGTAAAATTAGAAATCTTGCAAAAGGCACAGAACTTCTTGAAGTAAATGAAACTGACTATCGAGAATTACTTGAATTCAGACCCAAAGCTGTAGACAACTGAGGACCGAACAGTCATAGCAGTTTTTAACAGCAGAAGAGAGAAAATCAACAAGCATGATGGCATGATGAGGACTTCCCGAGAGAATGATTAGAATATGAAAGAATGAAGAAAGGATCTTGGGAAAAACTGAAAAACTCTAGAATGTTTTACAAAAGTCAATATGAAATGAGAGATGTTAAATGGCGCCATGATACAATTTTGTCAGAAAAATAATGCCCCCAAATCCACACTTAATTCATACTTTGTTCATTTTAAAAATGAGAGCATGATTGCTATTTTAATGTAATTTTGTCAAATGTAAGGTAAATAAAAGTTTTCATCATTGTTTTTGTTTCACAATTTTTAGTTTCTAAGACAGAATTCCAATTACCACCCCCCTCCTTTAATATGCTTTTTTTTGGGTCTCTTTTTAAATGTGGGTTCACTTTAAGTGGACCGTTTCTGGTACTAATTATCCTAACATACAAAGAACTCCCAGTAATTCAGTATTCAGTGAAGTGATGGATCGATCAGCATCATCCTTCCAGAACCAATGGCCAAGACCACAGCAGGCAGAAAGGAGAAAACTGGCCTTATTGACTGTAATGCAGAAAGCAAGGGTCCATAGAACCAGCCAGATATCACTGGAAAGGAGATGGCTAGTCCAGTTAGGAGGCAATTTTGGGATAAGCCTGTTCAAGACCTCAAAAGGGCGCTCTCAGGGCTGCAAGGGAAGTTGCTTACCCACAAAGCACCAGACCGCAAACCGGATCCATGTGATGGTGGACAGCTTTAGCATGAGATAGATGTTCACCAGCATGGCAAAGGCGGGCACAAAGGGGAGGCAAGGGGCCATATAGGGCAGCTTCTTGGGGTTCTCTGGCTGCTGCAGGATCACAAACACCAGGGCACTGATCAGCAGCAGCATCAGAACAACCAGAAGGATGGCCCACCAGCTCTGCTGTGAGATGTAGTCCGAACCAAAGATGATGAAGGAGCAGAAGATGAACATGAGGATGAAGAGCAGGAGCACGCAGATGGTCACCGTGCGCCCTGTCGCTGCCGTGGGCCGGTCCATTTTGCCCGGAAGGCCCAGCCGGATTCTCATGGTGTAATAACGGGGCCCGATTAGCTTCTTCAACTTGATGAGATAAATGTTTTCAGACTCATCGGCTTCTATGCCTGTGGTCATGTCCACGGTGCCGTAGTTGGGGTGGCTGACGTTGTAGGTTGACTTGTCTGATTTCCCGATGAGCATCTCATTGTCTCCCAGGGATGGTAAGTTCTTGGCCCCACAAGTGTTGGTGGCTGGGCTGGAGAACTCTTCCCCTTCACTCCCAGGAGAACAAGTCTCCTTCTCGCAGTCAGCCAGAACGCCCTCCTTCTTCTTGGTGTGCTCCTCGGACAAGAACTTGACAAAACCATCAATGTCACTCTCAGGCTGGTATCGAAGGAGCAAGACACACACAGAGACCAAGGTGTAGGCGAGGAGTGTGCCAATGGACATCATCTCTATCAGGTCTCTCAGGCTGACTAACAGTGAGAGGAGAGCTGCCAGGAACCCCGACACGATGCAGGCCACCACTGGTGTCTCTGTGTAGGAGCTTACGTGAGCCAGGAACCTGCAGGGGAGGTGCAAGCAGAGGGTTAAGGGTGAGCTGCATATGCTGGCTGATTCTAACGTAGGGGCTGGAGCTGTCAGTGGCTGCTGTGGTTGACCCCTCTGGGTCCTGCTCCTAGGATTCACTTTCGNACGTGAGCCAGGAACCTGCAGGGGAGGTGCAAGCAGAGGGTTAAGGGTGAGCTGCATATGCCGGCTGATTCTAACGTAGGGGCTGGAGCTGTCAGTGGCTGCTGTGGTTGACCCCTCTGGGTCCTGCTCCTAGGATTCACTTTCGCATTCACTGCTTTAAATCCAGCTGCTGTTCTTACCCCAGGATTTGGTTCCTGGAATATAACTTAAAGAGGATTCACTTTAACTTCTTGGTTTTGGGGCAAACTTCTTTATTAAAGTTCCTACTTCATTATGTGATGGGAAGGGTTGCTTGAATCTAGGAGGTCTGTCAGAGACCTAAGCTGTAGCCCAGGCTTTGCTGTGAAAAAGTAATGGTTGGAAGAAGCCATATGCCTGCTTGGGGGTCCTCTAGACCTGTGGATTAGCAGCATCAGTGTCAATTTGGAGCTTGTTTGAAATATATATTCTTAGGTTTCACCCAAGATCTACTACATCAGAATCTCTGGGGGTGCAGCCCAGCAAACTATGCTTTCAAAGCCCTCCAGAGGATTCTGATTTATGCTAAAGCTTGAAAAACACTGGCCCATAGTGAAAGTACAGGTATTTAGTTGGCAAAATAATTAAGAACCTGTGCTCATAGATACAAACTCAAGTCCAGCTAGTTAACAACTGAAGGGAAAACCAACCAGGGTGATTAAATGAGAAGAGCTTCTTTGGCAGTTCCTATAGGCTGTAAGTAGGCTCCAGGAACCCAAACATGGCAGTTCTGACCTGGTGATGGCTTCAGGGGATGTACAGAGGAAATGGAGCAGAAGATGACAGCCATGGCAGAGAAAAAGTCCCTGAGCTGGCTCCCTCTGCACCCTTGAGATCCCATTGGCCTCAACCAGTGGGCACTGGGAACCAAGATGGCACCTCACCCCCTTTGTACCATAAGCAGATAGTCTTCTTGGCCACACAGGGGGCTAAAACTGCCAATACACTGGTGTGGTTGAGTCTGGTTTTTGGAGTCAGATAGTTCTGGGTTCAAATCCTGGCCCACCACTCAGCAGCTGGGGGATTTGGGGCAAACTTTTTCCACCTCTGTGAGTCCTCATATACTCATCTGCAAATAGAGTTATTGTGAGGACTAAATGGGATACTGTATACAAGCAGCCAGGATACGCAAATGTTCAATAAATGGTAGCTATTGTTGCTACTATTATTAGGCTCTGTTCAGAGGGTCTTATCCTCTTTTTGTTCATTTTTTTTCAACTTTGGAGGGGCTGTGGAGAGAGGAACAGCTACCAGCCCTCAATGTCAGGGCAGGCCTAAGATGTCCCTGAGATGTCTCCTTCCTTCTGGAGGCCACCCAGTGCAGCAGTCTGGCACCTGCCCTCTTCAGAAAGGAGCACACAATATCAAACTGGACGGAGAAGGGCAGATGGGGAAACATCAGTTTGTGCTGGATTGAAAGACCCAGAGTGAAACTGAAGGGCTGTTTCAGGGCCTGAGCTCTTTTCTCTAAAATTCTTTCCCAGGACATATGACAAGTTCCACAATCTATGTGAAATGCATTCACATCAAGCTTACAGTCATGCTGACAGTGGGTGAAATTCTCCCTGGATAGGCACAGCAGAGCAGAATAAATTTCATGGAGCATAGCCCTTACCTGAAAAGGAGCCCATCACCAGCCATGGCATAAATGACCCTTGGCATTGGGAAGAGGGAGCCCAGCAAGCTGACTGTCAGTCCTGCAACAGATCCAATAGCCACCACAAATTTTGCAGCATAGAACCCATGGGCCACAAACATCTCCATGAGTGGGGATTCCGTGTCAATGGCATAATATGGCACCATCAGAGTTAAGATCATGCTCACCTGTTAAAACAAGAGAAGACATGGCTGGAGGTAGAGAGGATGGACAGCATGGATGGTGTCCCAGGGACGGCAAAGAGCCATGGAGGCAGAGGATCACGTGGGGGATTTGGATCTACCACTACCTGTTCTATAGTAAAAAGACTTTTCTCCCCACATGTGAATGAAGTGGGCTAGATCAGATAATCTCTAATGTTTCTCTGTGGACCTTTCAAATCTGAGGAATAAGTCTGCAGGTATTTCAGTCCCTTGAAAGCAGAGCTATATAACAGTTCAACGGAGGGCAGCTATTACCAGATGGAAGGAGTCACAGCAGTGGCCCTGTAGCTGGGGCCTGGCAGTGACCATGCGCACCCTGCCCACATAGACAAGCCTCCCATTCCTTTATACTTTTAGGGTCCTATAGGGTTTTTATCTGTATTCCCCCTCACTCCAAACACCAGAGATCAAAACCCCAGAGATAAGTGCTTAAGAGGTCCACAGTCAATTAACTGATGGGACCCAAGTGAGGACTCCTATTTCCATCTCCTCCTTCTAACTTAGTCCTGGGAGCCAGGCTGACCAACAAGCAAATGATGGCACCAGGATGGAATCCAGTCTGGAGCTGTAAGACACAGTGGCTTTGCTTAACCAGGAATTACTTGGCTGATGCACCAGGATCTGTCTCCTCTTACACGTCACAGATCTGCCATAACATCCCTTCCTTCAGAATTGGCCCCAGGCAATGGATCCACCAGTCATATGGCCAGATATGTGACTTGCCCAGGCCTGCGAAGGCTGATCCTGTCATCAAGAATGGAGTTCAAAGCCTGAAAGGGAGAGGGTGGTCATATGCAGACCACTTCTTTGCCTGTTTCTCAGGAACCAAGATCCTCCAGTGAAGCCACTGCTGCTGGGGAGGATGGCAGGATGTACCACCACAGCCCAGCAATGTGGCTCGTCCCACAGTGGTGGAGTGGCCACCTGCTGACCAGTACAAGACAAGAACCCCCGAGGCATGGTCAGGCCCAAGCAGTCTAGAAGAAAATGCTGCTCAGCAACATGGCCACTTGCAACATCCCCTTTGGGGATGGGTGGGGTTGGCTGGGAGGCAGTGGGATTGATCCCTACAGCAGCTCATGCTGAATCTTCTGGCCACTGGCCATGTTAGATCAAGACAGATGCAAAGGCTGTGGCTGCACAGAAGTCCTGTGTCGTCTATAAAGCGCTATTCTAAGGAAGGAGCTGTGATTACTGACTTTACTGCCCGTGCTGCAAGGGGGAGGGACGACAGAGGAGGAGGAGGGGAAATGCAGAGCAGAGTGTCTCTGCAGCTCCCTGAACTCCCCACCTCTCCCTCCACGCTCTGCCCACAGGAATAATCTGGGTACAGACAGGATGAAGCCACTGCATGTGTGTGCACAGGGGGAGGTGACAAGTGACCCACGCATAAAATGTCTGGGTGGGCAATTGGATCTCTGTAAACCACACCCAAGGCTGCTCTTGAGTTTTCATTAGGCATCTACGATCCTATTTTGCAGTGTGCCTTAATGATCAATGGGTCTCGCTTCCTTAGGTGGTTGCTAAAGACGTTTTTTTGGAAAAGAGGAATGGCAGGGCTGACAGGCTGCACCCCCAGCTGCTGGCTCTTTTCTAATTGTGGTGGCCAAGTGAGTGGGCCCCTCAGGACCCAGAGTGTTTGTGCAACCACACACCTGCTGGCCTGACAGCTGGGGTTATACATTGCCAGGGCCGAGGGGGTGTTGGATGTACTGCACTGTTTCTGTGATAGAAATTCTTGGAGGGGAGCTGAGAGAAGAAACCTCAAAGAATGAGAAATGTCCCAGGGCGTCCTGAGGAGCCGGGGCTGAAGGCTTTGTTCTCAGGACTCCCCGAGCAGGGAGACCCACAGGAGCAGTTTGAGCTGGTGTGAAAATGGGAGCAACCGCTGAAAGAAACTGCACTTTCCTCCCCAGAGTTGAGGGGAAGCGTCTCTAGAGGACAAAATTCTCTTTCTCGCGGGAGCTGGTCTCTTGGCTGCTGGAAAGCTCCGGGAAGGCAGAGGGCATCAAGGCCATGCACGGAGGGTGCCAGGCCACGCTCACACCCCCACTATCCCTGCACATGGAGCCTGGGTGGCATTGGACACCAAGAGCCTGTGGCAGGGAGGGCGATGCTGCAGACCCGGAGACCAAGGCCCAAGGGAGGGCCTGGGACTTCTGCTCTCCAGTCTGCGTCCTCACTATCTTCTTGTGGTAGGGGTGGGACTAGAGGGGACACGAGATGCAGGCCTACACATAACACCAAGAAGGCACAGGGCAAGGACGACTTCCTGATGGAGAAGGGAGCACAGACCCAGAGACACATTTGAAGGCTGAATGTGAAAGGCCACAAGAAGGTTCCCATCAGCATTTGGTACTTACGGACACATAGGCTGTCAGGCAGATGACCAGGGAGGCGGTGATAGCATAAGGGATGGATGTGTTGGGATTCTTGGCCTCCTCTCCGGTGGTGGCGATGATGTCAAAGCCAATGAAAGCATAGAAACATGTGGCTGCTCCTTGCAGTACCTGTATGGACGATGACATTTGTCAGACTCAGAAGGTCAGGGCAGCACCAGGGCCTTAAATGTGGTACCCTCAGTTGCCCAATGTCCCGTGGACATTACTGAGTGGCAGAGGGGCAAAACTAGTGCTAAACACCCAAGTTCTGATCTCTACTTTCTAGCTGTGTGACCCTGGATGATTCCCTCATGTGTAAATTGCAGATAGGAAGAATTATGTCCAAATAAAAATTGGGTCATTCAACCTACTCAAATCTGTTTTGGAAATATGTGTGGGTATAAATCAATCAATATATTGGCTCTGTCTGTGTCTTAGGGAACTCATAACCTTTCTGTGGTTTGCTTTCATCCAAGGGTTCTCAAGTGCACCACGGGCTGTGTAATTACCGCTAGGGGATGTTTGGAAATATGGGGATGTAACTATTTGACTGTCACAGAGACATGGAGTGGATGCTTCTGGCGTTTAGTATAGGAGACTCAGATACTTCTGCACAAAGAATTATCTTGCACAAAGAATTGTCTAGCCCAAATTACCATTATTGCCCCTAATAGATCATCTCTACAGTAATTTCCAGGTCTGAAACGGTATAGAAGATTTTCAGCTCATCAGATCTTCTTCTGTCTTCAGTGGGAAGTCAGGGCAGGAACAGAGTTTGCTTGAGCTTCTGCTCCTTTTAGGGGCTTAAATGACCTAGTTGGGCAGGAGGCAGGGAGTCAGAGTAAAGCTGGGGAGGTGTATCCAGTAACATCTTCTGGATATGTGTCTGCCAGGAGCCCATGTGGCTCCTAGGTGCTTGGGACTTTTTTTAAGTCAAGATGTCAGTGAATAACTTGCACTGAGAGCATGTTACTTTCTTCTGAATAGTCTATTGGCGTTTAAATGAAGTTTTGCCACCTTGATACTCTCATTATTAGCTGAAAGTAAAAAATGTGCCTCTTTGGATGTTTGGGGATATCCTTCAGAGGAAATGAGAGATTTTGGGGGTACTTTTGTGTATGGGTTGAGGGGTCAAAGGGCAACGTCTAGCCAGGGGCCCAGAGGTAAGGACTATTGTTAGACTGGACTGTTTTCTTCCTTTTATCCACATTCAGTTTATAACTGATGAAATTCAAAACATGTGTCAAGCAGATACTTGTCCAAATGTTCACTCTCACCTTGCCTATAGGCTTCTCAATAAGGAAAAGACAAAATACTAAATATTAGAACCTAGAAGTTACATCACAAGACTGAAAATCTTCTCAAACCTTCATCAGCAACCTTTCTCATCTGTACAATGAGTTGGTCTCTTCGATAGTCTCTCCCGACTAGGATTCTGATGTTTCAGTCTCCTACTGGAGGGGTTCTTATCTTGGGTCCATAACATTCAGGGGGTCTGTGATTTTTTGTTGGGAAAGAATTACATCTTTATTTTCACTAATCCCTAACTGAATGTTAGCATTTCTTTCAGTTAATGAATGTAGGTGACAAACTAACAGTACCTGTGACTTTGTCACCAATAGTACTCAGATATTTTCACATCATATGAGAGCTGTTGCAGAGATCTTGAAATACTGATTATACTATTTGCTACTTCCAAGTTATGGCAGTTGATAGACATAGATATTAATATTTAAAGCAGTAATAAAAAAGCACATTGTTATTATATCACGATTTAAAATATTTATTACTATATTTCAATATAATTGATTTCTTTTGAATTTCACTGTACTCTTGGTTATTCACTGAAAAACATTCTCATAAAGGGTCCATGGGAGTCATCAGACTGCCAAGGGGTCCATGGCACAAGAAAATGTAAAAACTCCTGGTCTATTCCGATAAGTCAGGTAGAAAGAACTTCTTGAACGTGAGCAGTTCCATCTCCACAGGGCTACTTTCTGGGAGAGAAGAGAACTCCTAATTTCCCTCCAGCAAAGTCCTTCACCTCAGGATATGGAAAGTGTCTTTGGCCCCCAGACAAGGAGAGAAAACAGATCTTACTTCATCACACATGGAGGTTTACAGGCTTGGAAATGTGCTTGTTTTCACTTGTCTAGAAAAGATTACTGGTCTTCAAGGATGAATGAATGCTGGGATTGCAGGCTCACTAAGCTGTCCTGATCAAGGAAAGCCTTCCTTTAAGCCATTTTCCAGAAAACAGGTCCTGCTTTCTTTCCTTCTAACATCTTTCTTTCCTTCCACACACACAGACACACACACAAACATCCTCTTGCAAATCATACAGTGATGTGACGACCAGGTGGATTTGAGGCAAAGGTACTTCGGAAAAAGATGAGATGTCTATGAAGGATGCCATGAAATGAATAATTGGGGACCTGGGGATGTCTAACTTGAAGAGTGGAAAACTCAGTGGAAGACAAAGGACACCTTCAAATATCTGAAGTATCAGCAGTGTAGCGGCTGGAGTATAGGTACACTGTAGGCTCCAGAGGGAGTCCTAGAGCCATGCACGTGGGCAGGATTGGGTTTGGTTAGCAGTGTAGACTTTGTAGACGGTCAGACCTATTTTGGTTCTGCCACATATTGGCTTGGTGACCTAGAACAATTTTCTAACTTCTTGGAGCCTAAGTTTATTTATCACTTAAATGGAGGTAATACAAGAACTTAGGTCATAAGGTTGTTACAAAATTAAATGAGATAATACAGGAAACTGCACTCCTAGAATACAGAATACAGTGCTCAATAAATATGAGCTCTTACCACCAAAATTATTACTATTGTAAGTTTTTTTTAGAGCAGTAGAAACCCAAGGGCGCAAACAAACTTTTCCTCTTCTCCTTC